ACATTTTTTGCAATACTGTTGAAGGAAATAATGCCGACAGTCACGTGCACATGTTTTCCTCTCAGTATTATGAGCTGTAAAACTCACACCTTTGGATAACTGGCTTTGTTTCTAAATTAAAATATCACCAGGTTATTGAAAATCAGTTCTGTAAAGTTGGGGCGGTGATTATCTGGAGAAAAATGGTTGTGTTTATCACATTAATTTCCCAAGATATTGCGATTTTTGTTAAAAATTAAAAAGGTTGTCCGAAAATTTCAGTATAAAGACAAGTCGTCCCCTCTGAACAATTTTCTGATGAAAGTTTACTGCTCCTTCATGCCCTCGGATTTTCGACTGAACCCATCATGGTGGGTAATAGTTTCGGGTGAGACGAAAAAGCCACCTAAAACTTTCGAGAGGAGCAAGTTCTGTTAAGGCATCCGAACAGACGGCTGCTCCAAATTAACCAATGAAAAAGGCTTATAAAGCATAGGGAAAACTATTGGAGACAATTCTGGCAATACTGACAATGGGTCGGCTGTTAGTGCCCCTGTAATTTTGTCCACCAGTTCCTACCATTATTCCTAACCACCTTCTCATGATCCCCTTTCCCTTTATATTTACTCTCTTTATAAATTCTTTTAGTTCCCTCTTTGATTTATCATCCGAGAATAAAACAACGTGAGGTCAAATACTTCACAATAGTTTGAAAAATTCAGTGACGTGTCATATTTATTTCTATTTTAGGGACAACATAGAGAAGTGATATCCTCCCTTGATTTTGCAATCAGAGACTCAATAGTTTTTTTTTAACCTTTTAAGCACCAAGATCAACATACAAATTCTCCAGGATGGCCTTCATAGATTTCTTGAAAAATTGGTTGAGAGAATTTGTTAAAAGATCAAAGCATATTTTCTTCAGTGATTATAACATTAATTCTCATAACCTTTCCACGATTTACTGAAATTTTTAGGAGAAAATTGATGTTGGTCACTCTTGGGAAGGGTTAAAATTATTTGACAATAAGTGATGCCACTCTTATTAATTTATTTTTAGTGCTTGTATTCTTATGGTATAGCGATACATTCTTATCATACATTTTATGGATCTAATTTACATCACTATATTTATAATCTTAAGCATTTTATTTCCGCGTTTGTTTTTAATTGTTCTGTCCCCTATTAGCTTGTAAGCTAAATATCCTGACACGTAAATTACATAAAGTTTGTTATTATTATTAACCACATAAGACGGTTTAGCGATGAAGCAAGAATAAACCACCAATCATGAAACGGAGAAACAACTATGTACGAAATATGTGTATTCAAGAAAAACTGGTTTTTCCAGCTGAACTTGTTTACAACCACGGTTGAGACGCTGCTGAAATATTCCTAATCCCCCAATTCTAGTCCAGTTAATGAACGTCTCTACTCAGTAAGGAATTAAGCAATTTATATTTTCCTCCCTTGCTTTATCTTATGTACCTCTCAAAATGTCGATTGGTTAACTTAAGTGTTTTTCTTCTGTAGCTCGATCGTGATAAAGTGGTTCCAACACGCACGTAGGTAAGTACTCACCATTTATATGTCAAGGCATTTCAAGATGCCTCGTACAACCATTAAATCTCGGTTCGCTTCCTTTTACTGTTAAATATTTGGTAGCCACAAAATAATTGACCTCCAATTATCCATTGCAAAACATTATTTGTATTGGGATTCTGCTGTTACTGTCAGAAGCAGGTTGCGCATAAAAATCGATAAATAGTAGGCTCCTGAGTGTATGCTGAGGATTCCTTAGAGGAACTCCTCGGCCTCAGCAATCCCGTCACTGCTCACAGTACTGCTCAGAGAGCAAAATATTGCCATCGTACGTTTTTATTTTGTAATTTAAGGATTTCCGGGATAAGTACTAAACTTAATAATTGCATTCATGATCCAGTTCCCATTTTTTAAGATTATTTTTGAATAACAAAAGTGAAAGCTCGACGTGCGACCTTTCACCAAAACATACCAGATTTAAACTAGGAACAAGGAAGAAAGATTTGATAAAAGTGGTGTAATATGATATAAATGCAAATTGTATATCTATAGACCATTTTCCTCTTCCCCCTACGATTTTTGGTGAAAATTATCATTTTTTGACCTCCGAATTATTGCAATTTTTGGTTAGATCCTATATATAAGTTATAACTGAAAAAAAATGGCAATCATATTTTCACAGGAGAGGATAAATTTGATCATGATTAATTTTGTCCATTTCCTGCTAGTGCTTCTTATCCAGACCTCTCTCTCCTTGTTTTTCCTTCTTCCTTCTTCTTCTTCAGCGTTCTTCCTTCTTGGTCCAGCGGTCATTCGCGTCTTCTCGTCAACGGCCCAAGAAAGACTCTCTAAAGGCATAATCTGTCGGCTCCCTGGGCCAAATCCGATGTGGCGAGAAGTTCTCAACCCCCTGCAATGTAAATACAAATACCAAATCATCCGAATGATCTATACTTCAGATGATAATTAAAGGCAAAAAAGTAAAGAGTCTTTACCGTAAATCCTCTATTAAGGCCCCGGGGGCTTATTTTTTTCAAGCACTTTTGAGGGGGGAGAGGGGGGGGCTTATTTAATTTAGTGAAACGCATCAACGGGAGCAAGGTTTCTCGAGGACGGATTTATGGTTCCCGGGCGTTATACTGCTTTTTTTCTAACAATAAGAAAATGGTAACAATTCTCCACAGATAACTAGAGCGTGAAGTTGAAAAAGTTAAGCACATGAGGTTGGAGGTCATGTGGCCGAAGACCAAAAACAATATGAATTTCCAGCCTGAAGAATCCATAACTGATCAGTCCACGTTAATTGTTTGTGAAGAAGGAAAGGAGGGGAAGGGTGAGGGGGGAGGGGCTTAATAGAGAGTGGGGCATATTTGAGGGGTGGGGGGCTTAATAGAGGATTTACGGTATTTTACGTCGGTAACTCGAAATTGTCATCTCATTATCAAACCTGACGCCGACAGATTACCCCCCTCTCTCTCTCTCTCTCTCTCTCTCTCGCCCCCTCTCCCTCCCCCTGTTTCTCTCTCTCTCTCTCTCTCTCTCTCTCTCTCTCTCTCTCTCTCTCTCTCTCTCTCTCTCTCTCTCAATGCGTTGAACAGGTACTCTCTCTCTCTCTCTCTCAATGCGTTGAACAGGTATTAAAGCCAGCTAAAACTGCACGGAAAGGAAAGATGTCGAAAGAAGGATTTGTGGTGTAACTTGGCAATCGAACTCGGGACCTCTCGCACAGAAGGCCACGCACTCGAACCAACTCCCTGTGAAAGAAGATTTCCGGACCGAATGTTATGTTGGGCCTCAAAAGAAGCCCTGTTTACGCAAAAACGACCACATTAATGAAGTTGTTAGTGGCTAGTGTAGTGTTCAATTTTCATTCACTTCTTTTCCCGCTAATGCTAAAACGTGATAGAGATTTCATGCGCACGCTCTTTTGTATCCTCTGATCTTGCATTCCATTCAAACAACTTACAAATATACTGGTTCTGTTTCATTCTAACAGATTCATCCCTGGACAAACGGCAGTTATCAGTAATGACCATGAAAGTCTCTTTTGTTTGTCTATTTCTCCTGGTGGCTGCTTGCCAAGGAAAATCGGTAATGTCAACTTCCTTCCCAGTTTCTTCCACGTACTCGTAGGGACGTCGAGTTGGAGAGAGAACTGCAGACACAATAACGCTAACAGACCAGTTAGGCAGTGTTGCAAAGATCGAGCGAGATAGATCCACATTCCGAAACTACAGACCTAATGAATTCCTGCCAGATGTTGCAATCCTGAGGGGGGGAAGGGGGGAGGGGTACTTAAGGGACTCTTTGGTAGAGGTGTGCCTGACCCTGAAGACAATAAAGGACGAAAGAATTTCCGTTAAGCTGCATAGCACTTTAGAAAATAGAAGTAACAAAACTGTTCATTAAAAATAATACAGAAATCATGAACAAAGGTGCCGTGTTTAGGTTGAAGTTATCCTTTCCAAACGTTTCGGGCTTGGCCCTTCATCAGTGGAATTACCAGTTCGTTGAAACCGTTGCAAGGTTTATATACGCCATAAATTAGAAATAAGAATTAAAGGCTTTGTAGTGCACGCGCGGCTCTGAGCGCGGCCTAGAGGAAAAGGAAGTCGGAGTTTAAACCGCGCGGCTGACTGGTGCCAAGTTGAAATATCAGTCGCATTTCCAGGCGCTTCCGTTGCGCGTTATCTACAGAGAGCATCATTCCTCGAACCAAAGTGTCGTCGATTGAGTGACCAGCCTTGTTAAAATGTTCAGCCACAGGGAACCCCGGCACGTTCTTTTCAATGCTCCGAAGGTGTTCGCCAAAACGTTGTCTTAACGTACGCCCTGTTTCGCCGATATAGACGGCAGGGCAACGGCGACAGGAGATGCAGTAGACCAAGCCAGACGTTTGGCAAGAGAACGCCTTCTTGATGACAAAAGAGGAGGGACTTTAAGATCCAACGACTCGGACGGCAACGTAAGTGGGTAGGAATAATCGCTATAAAAACTGAAAGAACGCTAATTCACTTTTTAAGCGACGTTCTCGTTGTCGTCCCGTCGTTGGATCTTAAAGTCCCTAGTATTGACGGCCACGGACACTAGTGTCGCCAGAAATGTAATGGCAAGTGCGGCAGCGAGCGTGTAAGCACGGAGATGTACCCGCCTGAAAACTGGATTGGCTGCTATCCGAAGTATGCTCGAGGATATCACGGAGGTTGCCGTCACGGCGATAGGCGACCAGCGGTGGCTGCGGAAAGACTGCTCTGGTTTCAGGGTCACTCGACAAGATGTTGAAATTACGAAGTAGGAAAGTAGGATTCTCTTGATTCTTTTGTTTAAAGGATGGTAAGTAAGAACCAAAGGAATCCTTTCTGATCTTTGATTAGAGGGGTTGTGATTGTTTAGTACACCAGCTCGGTCTAACCGTCGGATGGCCTGGAGATCGTTCTGTAAAGAGGCGGGAGAGTATCCACGTGGTTCAAAGGAAGACATCATTTCACCGCCCTTTTCCAGAAAATCTGAGTCTTCAGAACACAGACGGCGAAGTCGCAAGAGTTGACTGCGAGGAAGACCTTTTTTGCAATGGCTGGGATGTGAGGACTGATGATGAAGATAAGTGTGGGTGTCAGTGTCCTTGTAGTAAATGGTAGTGCTGATGTGATCATCAGTAATGCGTAACGTGATATCGAGGGAAGAGAGTTTGGTGTCAGAGATTGTGTGTGTAAATTGAAGAGCAGGATGAAAGTTGGATACGAAGCGAATTTAGTTTTCCAGGTCCACGCGGCTACAACATCGACTCTGATGACATCATCGATGTAACTCTTGTGTAGTTGAGGTACAAGGCCGTGGTACTGGCTTGCTATCTGGTCCTCAACGTATCCAACAAAAAGACATGCATAGTTTGGGCCCATCTTACTGCCCATGGCGACCCCTCCGATTTGCTGGTAAAAATCTCCGTTCAAGGTAAAGGCATTGAGGGTCAGCACAAGTTCAGCAAGACGGGTGAGTGTGCTTGTAGGTGGGTCGAGAACTGGACGCTTGTTTAGGAAATAGGCTAACGCTTCAAGGCCACTTTTGTTGGGGATAACAGTATATAATGATTTTATGTCCATGGTGTAGAGGAAGCGTTCGCCAGCCGTTAAGTTGTCAAAATGGAAATCATTGAAGATTCGAAGGGCGTGGTTGGTATCCTCTCCATAGGTCTCAAGATTGCGCACAAGGAAACAATAACCTGTCCAGCGACACATACTAGTACTAATGTTTAGGCCAAATAAAGGATTACGCCTTTCCCTAACCCGTATATTCCGCAGTAGATGCATCGCAAGAGAAATATGTTCTCTTATTGTATCATCACTGTCATCACTTTTTTTCAGGCAGGCAATTTAAAAGCTGGTGTTAAACAAAACGTAGGATCAGGCCAGGATTCAGGCACAAAGGTGGGAGCTTATTTTTTGATGGGTAATTGAAAATAAAAGAATAGCTATAAGTTGAAACGTGACCGCCATGTAAAATAGGAAAGCGCAACAGAAGGACTAAAGGATTTTAGGAGTTGAAGGCTGACCGTCCCAAAGAAGAGAACAAAGATGAAGGAAAAAAGGGCCCTTAAACGACATAGAAATATGGCTAACTGTCTTAAACAGACTCCTCGAAGCGAAATTTTAAAGGTTCTTTTGGGAATGTATCGTAAGTAGTTCGATAAAACATTAAGAAGACAGCTCCTCTGAGCTCATGAGAAAATAGATCATCTCAACTTGCTACAATGATACTGGAAACAGCAAGACAACGAAAGTCATCCATTATCAGTTATGTACACTTAAATCTCTTTTATGTGTTTATCGAACTATACAAAGCTTCTGTGTAGATCCCGGGCGTCCTACATACAGCCGCACATAACATTCGTTCCCCCATGTATTACGCGCTGGTTCGATCTACAAGCCTTAAGTTTGTTTTTCGATTTACAGGAAAAACCTTGTCAAGAAAATGCCAACAAAATGAAACCGAGATCTTGCGTAGACCACCTAAAGAATGGAGCAGACAAATGTGGCTACTACAAGATTTACGATGCTTCAGGGAATGGATTCACCGTGTTCTGTGACATGGAAAAAGAACCTGGGGCGGCCTGGACACTTGTCATGTCTTGGAGTCTGAAAAACAAGCTCTTCTCAAACTTTAGGTACTGTTTTGAATGGATTAACCCTTTGTCGTCCTCCAGTTTTTAGGGAAAAACGCTTTTTGGACTAAATCCTCCTTATTGGATCGTTTTTGCCCAGTTAGCACATGAATGGCTCTAATGAAGCAGCTTTTTTGTTTTTTTTTCTCATGCGCATAAACCAAACTTGGACTTCTTATCTATTTCGATTAAACCCTGCGAGCACAGGTTTCTCTCTGATCTTGTTTGTCGCGTCGTTACGAACTACGCGAACGTCAAGCCACGCGAATGATTTCGTAAAAGCGAAAAGCCAAAAGCCATACAAGCGAGAAAACTCTGCTCGCAAGGTAGTTTCGATTGTTTTCTCGCTTTCTTCTTTTTCCTTCTTCTTTTCTTTTTACAGCCAGTTATGTCGCCCACCTTAAAATTTTGGCTGGCTTTCTTTCCAACAAAGGGATATATATATGCCAATAGCCATGATGGCTCTCGATATGCAAATTTAACTGTAAAGAGTAGACTGTAGGTAAATAGTAAATAATGATAATTGCTGCGGAGCGACCGTAGGGAGCGAGCAGCAACATAATCAGGATTTAAGGGAAATATATAAGGGGCGACGAATTCTCGAATTCATCACTTTTTACCACAATGCATTGCATTTAACCACACTTTTTACCACAATGCATTGCATTTAACCAGAGTGCATTGCGCCACGAACAAGTCAAATAAAAACACGGGGAAGTTCGCATCGTTCGCTGCCCAGACTCAGAGTTTTCTTTGTAGCAAATTTTCTACAGCACGGTTAGAGGTCTTACCAAATTTAAGACACGCAGGAGTCTTTCAGATGAGTACGATGGTTAACTTGGGGATTGGATTTCAATTCAAGAGCCTTTGACTCGTCCAGGTGTTAAACCTGACGAGAAGATGAGTATTTGCTCTTCGACTCCGCAACACGGGGGATGTACAAATTCCAGCTTGCTAGAAGGTGATGTGAAAGTGAGAAAATGTCATGCCATGCTATTCTTAAGAACCTGTATGAGCCGAAAATGGATGTGATTTTGACCATTCGCTTCAAAATAACAGCGGAAATCGAGATAACAAAACATATGTTTTGTGTCCTACTTTGCAGACGAGGACGTGTATCGGCGTTTTGAAAAGCATAATTATGTTCTTTCATTCATTCATTGCCATGGAAGATGCGTTTACATTGTTTTTTCACTGTTAATAGCTCGGTTAATGCGGCCGGCGATCATCTTGCCGGCGGAAGTTTCATGGAAAAGGAATAAAATGAAAGACTTTTACTACAGATTACGTAATCAGCCTCTGTGCTGTAGTGGTTAGGTGTAGTCGCTTCGAGTCGAAGGTGCCGGGTTCGAGTCCTACCGTCTCAGTCTCACTGCCTAACTAATGCCATTATCAACAGAATGTGCCGCAGCATTACTATCTTTTAGATACCCTAGTTTAAAACTTATATTGCGCAGTTCCATAACGAGATGATTAACTGCGCAATACAACATAACATAGAATAAAAATAACCAAATGATAAATAAGAATTACATCATGTGTTGTGTATAATATTAAAAAACCCAACTAAAAATAGAAAGTCTTACTAAAAGGTACGTCTTGAAACGTTTTGCTAAAAAATAAATAAAAATTGTATGGGGGTTAGGGTTGGATTTTTGCCAAAATGTTGCTTGTTTTTTTGGTCTAACTCTGTCAGAATTGGTCAAAATTTGCTAATCAGTCGAGGTATCAGTGGTAACATTTATCCTCGCTGATTTTGCATGTTACCCTAATCTCTTAAATAGAAACCTTAATGGATTCAGGAAGAATAATACGCATAGGTCCATATGAACCAAAAACGACCAAAGTGGACTTCAAAGGCTTAAAGTCAATAAGTTTATCTTAAAGACTTTAACTAATTCCCTGACTACATTTTTCATTCCCTTGTTACTAACTACCAAATCGTGCTGAGTACCTTGTAGCGCACCTTTAAATCTGCAGTCTTGTTAACTCCTTGTTCAGATCCATTAATACGCAGGTTTTTTGCCTTTTGCCTTAATTTGTGATTTAGTTACTTAGTTTAATTTTTTTCGCCCTAAAAATGTTTGCCTTATGAAAGGGAATCCAGATTTCGGAATCCGGGAAAATTTTACCTGCTGCATCCGGAATTCTGGGCTTTGGAATCCAGAATACAGCTCAGGGAATCTGGAAATCCACTAACGATAAATATCCAGAATCCAACTTCCACTGACGAAGACTAGAATCCACTACCTGGAATCCGGAATCCACTGGATGGAATTTAGAATCCAAGACTGTTAAAGGCACTGAAATCGTTGAGTCTACTGTCCCGCCCTCCACAAAAACATCTCAGAGAGGGGACGCACCTTTGCAGTGAGAACAGCTAAGGAATGAAATAACTTACCCCGAATCCCCGAAGACTTTGAAATCCTTCAAGTCAGAACTATGAAAACTGCTATTAAATTCCCAAAAGATTAAGGGATCTTTTGAATTAATGACAACAAAGACCGGAAGCCATATCTTGAGTGGACAAATGCACCGTCCGTTAACACTATCCTAGCAGCACGTCTCTGCAGGAGTGCCAATTCTTCTTCATTTCCTTTACCACAGCCATGAAAAACAGCACAACAGTATTCCAAATTTGGTAGTATCATATCATCGATGTATACAATCGGTTCGATGCTTCAGTTGTTAATTATGATCTAATTCTTGAGAACATGCCCAGTGTTTTAGAAACTTTCTTCTTCACATAGTCAATATGCAAATTAAAGGAAAGACTGTTGCTCAAAACTACGCCTAGGTACTTTTAAAAAGGCATTGCAGTGTTTCACAGATTCTCCTCCCAACGTTATATGAACCCCATCGATGTCTTGGCGACATAGTCTCTGGTGGGTGCCAAAAATAGTAACCTATCGCTAGTTTTTTTTCATTTCATCGTATTTTTAATTTATTTTAGAGGGCTACAAGTTTATCAGTAATTTTAATTGCTGTCACGTGTAACCCTCGTAAAATAAAGTCGCTTATCTTATCTTATCGTATTCCGACAGACAAACTCCCATGTCAATCAACGACCCAGTGAACGAAAACTCGCCTAACTGGTTCCTCTACCGGCTAACAATGGACAGAATGAAGTCACTAAGGGACGTGTCCACCCACTGGCGAGCCACCTGCAGTTATGACAAGTACGGTATCAATAACTACAAAGATTACATCCGTGGAAAGTTTTCGGAGGCCGACATCTTTGCCTTCCTTGGTCAAGGTGTTTGCCTTAAGACCGAGCTTGTCAACATTCGTGGTCACACTGGAATACACAAGACTGCCAGGTTCTGGCAGGTTACTGGTAGTCACACTCTTCATATGGACAGTTCTTTAACAGGTTGCCAGTTTGATCCCACCGTTGGGGCAGTGAGCAGTGAGGACAACTTTGGTTATTACGGCACTACAAACCCCAAGTTTACTTGTACAATGAATAGCGACTCTACCACGCAGTGGTGGTTCGGTAGCTATCAGTAGTACTCAGACCATCCAGCATAAAAACTCTACATCGTCCCTCTTCGTGTAATAATCTTTGAGTGGATAGTTTTAACGTTGTTAAAGCCAGTGTGTTACTGGTATAAAAAGTATCTAAACATTAGAAAGAAATTAGATCTACAATTATAACTAGTTTCCACTGATTATATCACTTGTGTCTCGGCTTGATAAAAGGGAATAAAAACTCAACCCATCCATGCAAGTGTGTCCGGCAATTTCAATGCGATGGCTAAGAAACGTCGCAAAGAACAACATATATCATTTGGCATAATGTGAAATATTCCTTTTTTTTTTTTCACTCCAATGAAAGGAGTTGCTCAACATTTTGTCTGGGGGCTAAGTCTAAATTCTTGGTATACCTTGTCATTCGCCCCTGGAAATTTTTCTAGTGAGTGAAGCTGTTTTCTGTCCACTATCTTGCCAAAAAGAACCGAGACTATTCAAACCGTTGTTTGCAAGTTAAACCAACTTCGCCACCTATTTTTCACAATCTTAAATAATTAGAGCTTTAGAAGTTCAAGCCTGTGCATAGGACAAAATTTCACGATACTTTACGAAAAAAATCTTGTTCGCTTTCTCCTCAGACTTTTTTCCTTTAGCTTTCCCTTCTATCTATTTTCGCCTTAATCTTCTTTGTTTTGGCTTTTGCTGAACATTTACTACGCTTTAGCTCTCAGTTCGGTGGGAAGATTTTCGCGAACACTCCAAAGGTCAAACGATCTTATCTGGAAGGACGTTTGGGTGGGCAGTGGAATAAGATTTTCACTGAATTTTCTGGTCATCCTTGCATGGAGTTTTGGTTTTTCCGTGGCTTGTTTACCCTCCATAATTTAGGTGCCAACGCGTTTGTCTGTGGTCCGGGATTAGCACCAACGTCTAGTCAAACCAAGTATAGCTAAATCCGTTAAGGCTTTGCTGTGAATGAGGTCATATGTGCGACATATGACCGTCGAAAGTGAGTACTTTTGTTAGTGTGAAAGAAAAGAAAAGAAAAATAATTATAATTTACTGTTTCAATGACGCTCAGAACTTTCGAATTGCAATTTAATATTCTTTCTTCTTTTTCGACAGACTTTTCTTTCCGTATTATCAAAAACTAAATCCAAGCAAAACTCGGTTAGATTGCCTGTCGTCCAGAAAAACAGAAAGGGTAAAAAAGGAAGCATTTTTTTTACCAGCCAGATGCAAGTTTAATCATGACGACGTATTCGGCAACCTCGTCCCCGGGGTCTTCTCGCTCTTCAATGTGGCCGCGGCGTATTGGAAAGCGAGAAGACCCTGGGGGCAAGGTTGCATATTTGGTTGATTTTACTAACAACCCCCTTACTACGCCGTTAAACCGATAAAAATTCTGTTAGTTACTGATGGAACGGTCAAGCAAAACGTTCTTGCAACGAACAGCTTTTTCCCTTTTGCCATCAACAGGGAGATTAAGCATCGCGTTTACGGAAAACTCAAGTTCGAAATGAGCAGATAAAAACAGCTTAAAACAATTCTTATCGATAAAATTGGCGTGAATCTACCGATTTTCGTCTAGTTATAATGCACAATAGGGAAACTTGGTCGAGTGGTACAAATTCACCTTCGCCGTAAACGCGATGCTTTATTTCGCCATTGATAACCGCGTTTTAGCATATATCCCGTAGTTAACAACTCCTTAGAACTTCATCCAGCGAGTGAGAGTTCACCTTCTCGACCCCATAAAAAGGTAATCCATGGCAGTCTTGGATTGTACATTCCACACTGTGAATTCTAGCCTCCCACGTAGACGTTCTTAGGGAGGAACGCGTGACAACCCCTACGAACGTCTGCGTGGGAGGCTACGTGGATTCCGGATTCCACCAGCAAAAAATTCCCAGATTCCGGAATCTTGATTTTACCTTAAACACAGTTGACTCTGTCATTAAAATTTCGTTTAAATTTTATTGAGTTTTACACGGAGGTGAAGACCAACCTTACATATTGAAGAAGGCAAACATAAGAAGTGGCATAAAAGCTCATGGTAAAGTAATCTTTGCAGTTCGCCGTGAACGTAGCGCTTAACCTCTCTTGTTATAATAAAATACGCCTACACTTCTTTTGGTGAAGTTGTCTGACGCCCAGTTCAGACGTCGAACTTTTTATGTACCGAACTCAACAGCGACTTGGATCGACCCAAATGATGTAAGTTCGACGGTCGATTCAGACGTTGAATTAAATTCGTCGAACTCAATTCATTCCTACGCTGTAAAAAAATGGTCTACGATGTTTAGCAGTGAAGAGAAAATATTGTCATTTATGCGTTAGCTTCGGCACATGAAAAGTTCCACGTTTCAGAAACAAGGTCGCTCCACGGTCGAAATTCCCATGTGGGCCACTCGAAATTAATTCATTGGTCGACTCAAATTAGATATGTCGGACTTAAATGAAGGGATTAGGTTTGGTACATGAGAAGTTGGACGTTTGAACTGGGCCTGAGTTCACTGGCATTATAAGCAATGTTTTTTACCAATCGGAACACACGTAAATACTTCATTTTTTTTATACTCAAACCTCCGTTATTACACAACAACAAAAATATATCGCGTTGTAAAGGCGAGTTTGAAAACAATAGTTTGTGTACGACATGAGGAAAATTTAATAAGAAATCAAAAAATAACGTTGTGAAGTTATCTTAATATACTTGCTGTATGGTAGAATTCGTACTATGGCGGGAATCCAAACGAGGCTATGTGCAAAACCGTTCTTGTGAAAATGAGCTATATTTGCATGAGAATGGCTTCTCATCATTTAGCCTCGCTTTGAAACAGAGGCTTGGGACAACTCGAAATCGGTCTATTCAGACAAACATCTGTGGTTTATAATTGGTCATTTACAGAAATACATAATTTTACTATTACGACCAGAATCCTTCAGGCTTTTGTTATAGAGAGGATTCTCGTCGTAGTAGAAAAGTAAAGTGACGCCATCGTGCAAATGGCCTATTGCTTCTCTTGCTTTCCGGATGTCCGAGGAAGTCTGGGTCGATACTACGGATAGAAACCAATATCGATACTACTAGGTCTCATGCTGTGGTGGTTCTATGTTACTACTCCGTGATTTTAAAAACCCGCATTAGTTTGGCCATTTAACGAGACCAAGTGTGGGAGTCGATAGTACTGAAAGGTGATCAGCAGCAGTAAATCTACAACCACGCAATTTACTAATGGATACTGCCTCAATTTTAAACGTTTATCTGCGCGTAACTTCTGCTTATTAGCTTTTTCGTTAGAAGTGCTTCATGAGATTGATGAATGAATCGCCTATTGTGCTGTGAAGTGTAGGGTAGTCGTCGCCTATGGTTAAATAAGGTCCGTTACACCATGACACCTCTCGCCCTGTTGCCAAGCAACGGCTGTGTCTGGCTGGAGGTAAGATCGTCCTCCGACGAACTGCTCGGGAGGCTCTCCGAACAAAGATTAGGCGAAGAGTAGTTATCAGCTATACGATCCTCAACCGGGAGCAAAACATTATCAGAGTGATTAATACCTGTAGTTTCACTACTTTCACGTGAACTATCAGCTAACGGATTGTTTACGATGTTTATCAGTCGTTCTTCGCCTGTGCTCGGGCCTCCTTCGGGAACACTCGCTGCGGGACGGCTGACCTCGGAAGCGCCGTCTGTTCCGTTAGCAGCGATATTTCTTTCGTTAGTATCTACAGACTGGCTGTTAGCGTTCGACGCGATTTGATTTCCCCCTTCTTGTCTATTCTCTACAACAGATTCAAAAGATGGCGGTGAGCTTTGCACTTGGCTCATCGCTTCGTCGTAGGACGGCAGAATGAAGTGCACGTCCCCGGTGTAAGCAGCAATTATCGCAATTCGGTCGTCGTCGCTATAACGTCGGCTTCTAAACGCCGAGTGTCGGAAACGCCGACTCCGGTGAAACCGCCGAAAACAAACTAAAGCTGTCAACAACACTACTAAAGCACCAAGAGTGGAACCAGCGGTCGCAACAGCAATCGTCATTTTATCCAGTTCATTATCACCAGATTTGATAGAGACTAAATTGTCAGTCGTAGTCGAGCCAGTTGTTCCTGAAATATAAAAATGAAGATATTTGTTAACACAGCGAAAGTCGCGTTAATCCTTTCACGTTCAAAGTGGCTAAATTTTATTTTGTAAAATGCTGAAAAACAAAACCGCGCAGACGTCTCTTATTTTGGAACAAACCATTTCAAGGTGAGATTTGAATTTTTTGATTGTTTATGGATATAAAGTTCGTTTACAATTAGTATAGGTAATAACGTGATTTGTAGTGATATTTGGCATAAATACCACAAGTGATCGATATTTCAAAATTGTTATACGTAATTTCACGAGCCGTTAGGTGAGTGAAATTTGAGACAATTTTGAAATATCCCGGGTGGTATTTATGCCAAATATCACGTACAAATCATGCTCTTATTTGTTTATACTACTACCCACAAGGGGTTTGTAATTTTCACATGTAGGTTTTTCAAATTAAGCTGAAATACCACTGCTCTAAGCCAATCAAATTGCAGAAATTTCTCATGCAGTGGTATAAAGTATAAAATGGAACGCCGATCTGAGTGAGACAAACAAAAACAAAAAAAGAGTCTACGCTCAAAGTAACCAAAGATTCTTCTTTCATCACCAAGTAAAAGTAATCCTAAAGAGGTTTCATTTGAATGCATGTTCACACCATAAGATACAAAAGATAAAATGGCCACTATAAGAGGTAAAAAATTTGGCCTCCCTGGTCCTCGTGTCTATTTAATATGGTTTCCGCTTATTCGTTTTTCGACTCCCAAATCACCGTCTTAAGCTCAAGCACGACCTTCCAGGGCGGGATACTCCGGAGTAAACGGAGGGATCACCAAATGATTTTTAAGGCTTGAATTTATCCGAACCGGGATTTTCTTGGATGAGACAATTTGGATTGGCGTAGTACGGCATCAGCGGCATCAGCACGCATGTGCCGCCCGCGTTGTTCTAAACT